TCCTTAGGTCCCTAATAGTGTATTTTAATACAGTGCATACATATCCTGCTGTATACTTTATCATCTCTAGATTACTTGTAGTTCCTAATGAAATTTTTATGATATCTATGTATCTATTTATCTATCTCATACTGAATTTAGAGAACGACCAGAAAAGTCTCTATACTTGGTACAGATATATGTATTTTTAGAGTACGTGTTTTTCCTTTTTGATGGGCTTCTGATCTGCAGAAGCCACACTTACAGAGAAGAAACTGTGCGAGCTTTAGTCAGAACATGAGCCCAGATGGACTCTTTTTGCTTGTATGCCCGCAGCTCCGAGTGGGGTCTCAGTATGTGAGCTGATTAAAAAATGCAGGAAAGGCCAGGCGGTGGTGGCGCACGCCTTTAATCCCAGCACTCGGGAGGCAGAGGCAGGTGAATCTCTGTGAGTTCGAGACCAGCCTGGTCTACAAGAGCTAGTTCCAGGACAGGCTCCAAAACCACAGAGAAACCCTGTCTCGAAAAACCAAAAAAAAAAAAAAACAAAACAAAACAAAAAAAACACACAAACAAAAAAAGGCAGGGAAGTAGAGGGCTCAGCTGCCAGTCAGGCATTCAGAGGCAACAGGACTGCCTGACTCCCTTATCTCGCTTTTGTGTCCCCAGAGAGTTCACCTTGACATCCAGGTAGGTGAGCACGCGAACGACTATGCAGAAATTGCTGCCAAAGACAAGCTGAGCGAGCTGCAGCTGAGAGTGCGACAGCTGGTGGAGCAAGTGGAGCAGATCCAGAAGGAGCAGAACTACCAGCGGGTGAGTGCTTGGTGGGGACTTACCTGTGGCAGAGTGCAGGTCTAAAAGCTGAGTGGCTCTTACAGAATCCATCTTGTAGGGGGCTGAAGAGATGGCTCAGAGGTTAAGAGCACTGTCTGCTCTTCCAGAGGTCCTGAGTTCAATTCCCAGCAACCACATGGTGGCTCCAAACCATCTGAAAAGAGATCTGGCGCCCTCCTCTGGCGTGTGGGTATGAGGCATAAAGTTGTATACATAATAAATAAATCTTAAAATAAAAAAAAAAAAAAGAGTCTCACATGAAATGGGCGTACAATTTAAAAAAAAAAAAGAATCCATCTTGTAGTTGAGCTACGCTAAATCACAGTCACACAGAGAAGAACAGCCTGGCAATTAATACCAGCACCTTGTGCTGTTTTAAAGGTCCTAGGTGCTGCCAGAACCAAGAGCCTCTAAATTATTTGTGACTAGGAACCAGACAGGTACCTTGAATGAATCTGTCGCCTTAAGGAGTTGTGGGGCCGTGACCCATCTAAACAAGGAAAACTATAGTGCCTGCCAGGGCCTCCTTACAGAAAATGTGAACCTGAGTTTTCAGCATCCCACTCCGCCCCCAAGAGCTAAAGGTCTGGAGAGATCCACCTGCCTCTGCCTCCCAAGTACTGGTATTAAAGGCCAAGATCCAGATTTTTATGTGAAATTTTCCTGATTTTTTTTTTTTTTTTTTTGGGACAGAGTTTCTCTGTGTAACATCCTTGACTGTCCTGGAACTCGCTCTGTAGACAAGGCTGGCCTCAAACTTAGAGAGATCTGCCTGCTTCTCTCTACCTCCCAAGTGCTAGGATTCAAGGTGTGCGCCACACTCCCGGCAAATTTTCCTGATTTTTAAATGTTGACAAAATGCTGTGTGGTGACAGGCAGGGTGGCGTACACCTTTAATCTCAGCGTTCTAGAGGCAGAAGTTGAATCAGTTGCAGTTTGAGGCCAGCCTGATCTGTATAATAAGTTCCAGGCCAGTCAGGGATACACACTGAGACCACATCTTGAAAGAAAACAATACAAGCAAAAACAACAACAAAAGTATTGTGTAAACCAAACAGTCTGAATATATGACGTATATGATCTTGAAGGAGCAGATTGAGAGACCTGGACAGAAGTCCACACTAAGCACTCCAGGACACCTCTGTCCCTTGGGGTTGTCACCACCACCTTACTTCTTCTCTAGGTGTCAGGAAGGGTCAAGTGAGGACTGTAGCTGACAGATGAACAGACAGACTTAGGAGAAATGCATTAGTCTGCTGGCAGTTACCTGCCTGTTGATGCTGAAGGTAGTCCATGCAGAGTGGGTGGCCCTGGGACATCCTTGCAAGCTGGGAACCCAGTGGCTCTAGCAGTCCTGAACCTAAGACTTGCTATCATTTCCCCGACAGTGGCGGGAGGAGCGCTTCCGACAAACCAGCGAGAGCACCAACCAGCGAGTGCTGTGGTGGTCCATCCTGCAAACGCTCATCCTTGTGGCCATTGGCGTCTGGCAGATGCGGCACCTCAAGAGTTTTTTTGAAGCCAAGAAGTTGGTGTAGCTGTCCCAAGCCTCGCAGGCAATCTTTCTTCCAGGCTCTTGGGAAGGACCTTCTGGAACTGGCTCCTCTGTGGGAGGAGGACTGGTTTTCAGCCGTAGATGTTCTGGAGGGAGAGGGACTGCAAGCATGCCCTCGCTGCTCAGGCTCCAGCCGAGGACAGTACTTGGCTGGCTAATGCTGAGTGGGGGTGGAGGGTAGGACAAGCCCTCCCCACCTCCACCTCTGGACCTTTCGCAGTAATCACTCAGGAGCTGGTGATGCCCTTGGTGTCTTAGATTCTCAGTGTTACTGATCAGGGATGTGGGGCTGCTTTCTGGGGTAGGATTGGGAGGGAAGTGGGTGGGCCAGCCAGCAGTTTTCCTTCTGTCTTCCTTTGTTACATGGGATTTTGAGCAGGTCATGGTGTATCAGTGCTTGTTATTCCAGGAACTTCGCTTTCCTTGCCTTTGGCGTACACCAGCCTGCTGATCTAGGGTGTATGTGTGTTGGTTTAAGGGTGGGGTAGAGGGATTGCAATGCAGGAAAGGGGCCCAGAGGTTGACTTGGGTGTCTTATAGTTGTCCTTTCTGGGGTTTGAGCAGCTGGCAACACGCCAAGCAGAGACTTTGGTGCTGGTTGGAGATAGAGCCTGCACTAAGTTACTGAGTTTATTTTCAATGAGTTCGGGTTTGTTACATTTGTTTCCCAATTAAAAAAAAAGAGAAAAAATTGTCCTGTGTACAGTTAACTCTCAGCGGGTATGACAATACATGGACTTGCTGGGTGGTGGCAGCGCACACCTTTTGAATTCAAGGCAATTTCATCTACAGAGTGAGTTCCAGAACAGCCAGGGATACACAGAGAAACCCTGTCTTGAAAATGAAAAAAATTAAAAATAAATAAAAATGAGAGAGAGAGAGGAACCTCTTGCAGTGGACACAGGACTTCACATTCCAGGGTTACTCTCCACCTGTGAACATCACGCTCTCTATCCCTTGCATGTTTGCTTGCAGCAGATGTATGGTAATGAGCTTGTCAAAACCATTAACAAATTGTGAGGTTGCTGGTATTTTACTCCTAGTTTTTGAAAGGAAGACCCAGAGTGCATTCTTACCATAATCATATCAAGGATGTTCACTATCAACATGACATATAACTGAATAATGTGATATAAAATGGGTTCATTTGGGTTTTATGTAAAATTTAATCTCTTGAGATACTGAGATCACATGGCCTTGTATCACTGCTCCTCATCGGCCTTACCTAACTGGTCTCCACAGGAAGTCAGCCCTGCCTTCAAGGTCGACCACATCAAGAGCTGAATGCTGAGTTTGTGGTGTAGAATGCAGAGACACAGGGTGGGCAAGGGTTGTGTTGCTTGTGTCAGGGCCTAAGAGGGGAAGGAGTTGAAGACAGCTGACTTCTCACCAATAGTGGAGATATCCTGAAGCAATGTGCTTGAGATTGTAGATGGTGGGTGGAAAAGATGCAGACAAGCCACCTGATTAGCCTGCGTCTTCACAGTGGAAACAGGGCCTGCTCGTAAGGACTGAATAAAAGGGTGCAGTAGTAAAGAATTAAAGATAATGACTGCCAACTAGGCAGTGGTGGCACATGTCTTTAATCCCAGCAGAGAGGCAGAGATAGGCAGATCTCTGAGTTCGAGGCCAGCCTGGTCTACAAGAGCTAGTTCCAGGACAACAGGCTTAATAGATATTAAGTATTTATTAGGATATTAAATTTTGCTTGAAGAGCAGAGGTCAAATCCAGTAACTGTCTCTCTTTTCCCAGGCAAAGGCTGGCAATGGGTAAGGGTGATGGAGTGGATATAGTCACACAAAGACGGGGCAGATAGGGAGCTCGATCTCCTGCTCATTGTTTCAGCTCTCGTTAAATACTGGACAAAGCATTTATATAGTGGTGACTGTGCCAGGCACTGCACCAAATCTGTTTACATTTTCTACAATGACCATACAGAATGAGAACAATTTGGGCTGGAGAGAGAGATGGCTCAGCGGTTAAGAGCACCAAGTGCTCTTCAGACGTCCTGAGTGCAACTGCCAGCATCCACAGGGCAGCTCACAACCATCTCGTAATGAGATCTGGTGCCCTTGGCCTGCAGGGACACATGCAGGTAGAACACTGTACACATATACATAAATCTTTTTTTTAAATGAGCAATTTATATCCCTAAGTGGTGAAACAGTTCCAGAAAAGTTGACTTGCCTCAGAACATAGTTGAATTGTCAGAGAGGGCTTGAATTGCAATCAGGCAGTCTTCAGAGCTCACCTCCTATTTGGTGAGTCTACCGAACCCAGCTCTGAATCCTGAACTGGATCTCCCCGTGCTCCAAGTTTATGTGCTTATTCTTCTGGGCTGACAGGAATGCTGCGATGCTGCCAGCTTTTCCTGGGGAAGAGGAGGAAGCTGCTCCTTATCCCAGAAGTGCTGATCTGGAGTGCACGTCTAGTCCTAGCTGTGCTCAGCTTGTTTGGGGACCCTTGGCCTGGATGAGGGGAGGAAGCTGCCTTTTTTGTGACATCTAGTTGGTCCCTGAGACCCGCCGGCGTGTTTCTCCTGGCAGCAGAACCTTCCAGGCGGCAGCGCTGGGGTGCAGCCGGCCCGGCCGGAGGAACGGACCTGACGGACCGCGGGGCGGGGCGGGGCGGAGGCGGAGACGCCGCGTAGGCCGGGCAGGCCGGGCGGCCGGGCTGGGAGCGAGAGCTCCATGTCCAGCCGTGTCTCCCCATGATGTTGCCCTCCCGGAGGAAAGCGGCGCAGCTGCCCTGGGAGGACGGCAGGTGAGCGGCGGCGACCAGTTGGAGCCGCGTCTTCTTGGGTGCCATTCTTTTCCTGAACGCCGATAGAATCCAGGAGCCTGACGCGGCCGCGTCTGCGGTTCTGGGGGTCACCCTGAGGGTCTCCGGTTCTTGGGGAAGGCGTCATTGGCATTTTCGCATTGACTGCATGGCTCTCTTTCTCTGCCAGCTTCCATTCCGTACGTGTGACCCTCGGTTCCTGTGTCTCGGTTACTCTCTCTGTGTCTTCCTCTCTGCCCTGATCTCTCTTTGTGTTTGTTCCTCTATCTAGTCTCTTTTTCCCATGTGGTGTGGTGTGCTGTGCTGTGGTGTGGTGTGGTGTGGTGTGGTGTGGGTGTGTTTCTCTCATTGCTTCGTCTGTTTTCCTGCGGCACGCTGGTTCCGTTCACGTCTTACAGAGGATCTCTCTATTTTGTTGCACCGAGTGTCTTTATTTCTTTTCTGCCTGCCCCATCACATCCTTGTGACTTCAGATCCTACCTCCTTCCTTCATGCTTCTTCATATTTTGCGGTTAGCCCGGAAGATCACACCAGACAGAAGCTTCCTATGTTCTCTGCGTGGTTAGTTGGCCATTGCCTGGCTTATCCTAGACACACCCATTAGTTCATTTCCTGTGCTGTGGTACTTGCCTGGGTCCAGCCTCGAGTGTTAGGTGGTGAGTCTGGCCCGACCTGATGAGTTTAAGATATTTCTCCCAGAAGCAGAATAGGGGAGGTGATTTCTCTGCTTAGATTTATAGGGACAATATACTTCAGGCTTGAAATATGCTCCCCTCGAGGCTGGAGAGATGGCTCAGTGGTTAAGAGCATTGCCTGCTCTTCCAGAGGTCCTGAGTTCAATTCCCGGCAACCACATGGTTGCTCACAACCATCTGTAGAGAGGTCTGGTGCCCTCTTCCGGTCTGCGGGCATACACACAGACAGAATATTATATACATAATAAATAAAATAAATATTAAAAAAAGAAAGAAAGAAGCTCCCCTCCCCCGTCCTTCTTCACCAAAACACACCTTAGTAGATATTCATTTAATGAGTGACACGTTTAGTAGGTATTATAAGATTCGAGTTTAGTGGACACAATTTTTTTCCCCCAGATTTGGTGTTAAAATGTGATGATAACATGTTGTCCAGAAACAGACCACTTAGTTTTTCTGACTTCAGTTTTCCATCTCTGAAGTGAAGAATCATATTATCTACTTGGAAGGGCTCTTTGAAGTTTAATGAAGATCATATATGGAGGAAATAGAGGAGAATTTCCATCTTACGATCCGTTTCTTTTATTGTGTTCTTAGAAAAATATATTGATGTCCATTCTGTGTTTTTGACACAATGGCAAAGATCCACGCAACAAGTATAACGTTCTGTAGTAAATGGGTACTAGCTATTAAACAAGCCTGCTTGAGTTTGAAGCACCTCTAATTAGCCCTAGGCTTTGATTGATAAAGGAGATCAACCCTTTTTTAAAGTGTCCCTCAGAACCTGGGTGTGGGAGCACCTGGGACTGCAGTTCTGGAGACTGCCACCAGGTGGCACCAACAATATCTTCTCAATGTTCACTATCATCAGCTTTTTTTTTTTTAAATATTTATTTATTATGTATACAATATTCTGTCTGTGTGTGTGCCTACAGGCCAGAAGAGGGCACCAGACCCCATTACAGATGGTTGTGAGCCACCATGTGGTCGCTGGGAATTGAACTCAACCCCTTTGGAAGAGCAGGCAATGCTCTTAACCGCTGAGCCATTTCTCCAGCCCCTATCATCAGCTTTATTGATAGACTTGGGACCCTTAGTGGATTAGGCCTTTAGAGCACAGAATGAGAGTGCCTTTGGGTACTGCGATCCTCGTAGAAAGGGCAAGTTGGATTGAAGAAACATCCCGAGCAAGTGCATGAAGTGTCCAGTCCATGCCATACTCCTGGATAATGGCCATTGCTTATTCCCCTGAAGGAGGTCTGGTACCCATTGTCCCTCGTCCAAGTCTCAACCCCGCTCCCAGAAAGAGCTCAGAGTGCAAGAAAGACTCTGTAAAGATTCCAGGCTTGTCAGACCTTTTGCAGGTCTGGGCTCTACTGCTCCACAGTGGAAACCATCACCACAAGATGATGGGGGGTAAGTCAGAAATCCTGTGAGGGCTGTCCTACTGGGCAGCCTCGCAGCTGCATGTGGGAGCTGGGCCTGGCTTCAGGGCTGCTGGCTTCCAGATTTGCACTTGTGTCTTTAGAGAGAAGGTAGGCGTGGTCGTGGCTCCAGTGTGTGACTTAGAGCATGCTTGAAGTGCTTCAACCCTTCCTTAACTCCTCGCTCCCTGCCTGGGCCTGAGCCATAGAGAAGAATAGGACACATGCTGAAAGTAGGCTCATGCAGCTCACCACACATCAGCGATGTAAAGAAGGAAGTGCCAGGTACCCTAGCAGTACAAAGCAGGGAACTTGGGAACTTGGTGCAGGCAGTGATGGCCATGACATGGATCTTTGGCCTTGAAAGATTGCAAGGGAACCGATACATGATTAAAATAAGGGGGTGTCAAGTAGGAGAAGCAGGTGGGGTGAGAAAGGACTGGAGCAGGAAGGAATGTGGCAAGTGGAAAGGGCCCTTGTCGCTCAGGGTGAGCGGGAATGCTTGTGGAAAATGGAGAGGTGACAAAAGTCTCAGGCACTTTGTCAGAGGAGTCTGACTGCCAGACAAGGATCTTGACCTTGTAAACGGAGGCTGGACAGATTGAAAGTGAAGAACAGGGCAATGACCAGGAGTCAGGATGATTGCAGGAGAATTTGGGAGGTAGAGTCCAAGATTTGATACCCGGCCAGGTGGTGGTGCCACACACCTTTAATCCAAGCACTTGGGAAATAGAGACAGACAGATCTCTGTGATTCTGAGGCTAGCCTGGGCTACAGAGTGAGTTCTAGGACAGCCAGGGCTACACAGAAAAACCTTGTCTCAAAAAAACCAACCCTGCCCTCCTCAAAAGACCTGATAACTAATTCCTGACTCTTAGCCTCTGAACCATCTCTCCAGCAAAGATTTATTTGTTTATTATGTTCCAATTCCTGACTCTTAGAGTTTATAAAGTAGATTTCTTTACTGGTCACTTGGGCAGTAAGGCAGGAGCAACTATAGAGGGAACTTCCTTCTTAGATTTCTCAGAGCCATTCCTGGTATCCTCAGGAACTTCCAGAGAAGGCAGAGGTGAATTCCACCATTTCTTTTTTTGCTTATTTGTTTTGTCTGCTTTTGAGACAATGTCACTATGTTACCCAGTTTGACCTTGAACTGGAAATGCAGGCAAGGCTTTCCACCTGTTGTAATTGTTACACTGAAGGGCAGTTTCCCAGCATCCCCCAGTGTCTGAGATATTCAGCTCTTTGTCCAGTTTCTGACACAGCCCTGTCCCCCTCTATCTTTATCTCCCGTCCTATGGGCTACCTAGTGGTCTGCCACTATCCACTATCCCTTTGTACTTTATGTTGGGCAGTTTTGAGCTTCTTTAGACTAAATGCCAGCCATTTTGCCTGGGGCTTATGTCAACACATACGCCTTTTGTGGGGCTTTCTGAGTACCTTAGCAGTACGTTTGGAAATCAGTGGATTGAATTTTTCTAAACTGGAACCCCTGCCATTGGCTAAGGACCTCAAAACACTGCCCTAGTGAGAACACATACGGCACGGTGAGTGTGTCCTTTCCCCTGAGCACTCTGACTAGAGTCCTCAGAGTGTGAGAAGTCATGGGAGAACTAGGGTAGCTGTAAGTGGTCTGAGAGTGTCCCGGAGTGGGGAGTGGGGTAGTCGAAGCCTGCTCCCACAAAGTCAGCTAGGTTGGGGGGACGTTAAGAGGAAATGTCAGATGAAAGAAACTGAGACAGAAAACACAGCATAGAATCAGGAGCTCTGTTTGGTCATGTCAGAACAGCCCAGAGTTTATTTCAGAACTTGCTTGTATGCAAAAGCAGAAGGAAGCACGGCACAGTCAGTCCATCCAGTCAGTATCCAACCACGATTCCTGGCCTTGAGTGAGCGGCCTCCTAACTAACACGTGCTTGCTGCTCGGAAGCAGCCTCGCTTTCTATCTTGATGTTCCTGAGGTTTGACGGCAGCAGTAGTCTTTCTGCTAGATAGAGTGTTCTTTTTCACGGGCAGAATGCTCTTTCCCATGGGCTAACTCAGAAGTTTCTCACAGTCCTCAAGGTTACTGGAAAAAGCAGGGCAGGCAAGCTTGACCTCAAGTGACTTAAAAGTCAAAACTGACTCCAGATGGAAACTGAGTTGCACGTGGGTTACCCCAGGACAGTAGCACAGGCTAGACCTACAGAGGTAAATGGTCTGAAAGTGTCCCAGGGATAGCACAGGCTGGGCTTACAGAAGTGAATGTGCTGATCATAATTGGTAGTAGCATGAGCAAAAACATTAAACATTGCTTCTGCACTAATTGCCAGGTATTTAGGGAAGGCTAGTCATTTGGCCTTAGAGAAGGAGGCCAGAGAAAGGGCCTTGGAAGGATCTTAGCTGGCCTGTCCTCCTGACCTCCTTCCTGCTCTTATCCTAGGGCCCGGCTGCTTCCTGGAAGCCTCCGGCGGAAGTGCTCCATCTTCCACCTCTTCATTGCCTTTCTCCTGTTGGTCTTCTTCTCCCTGCTCTGGCTGCAGCTCAGCTGCTCTGGAGACATGGCCCAGGTGACCAGGGGACAAGGGCAGGAGACCTTGGGCCCACCTCGGGCTTGCCCTCCAGAGCCGCCCCCTGAGCACTGGGAAGAGGATGCGTCTTGGGGACCGCACCGCTTGGCAGTGTTGGTACCCTTCCGGGAACGCTTTGAGGAGCTCCTGGTCTTTGTGCCCCACATGCACCGCTTCCTAAGTAAGAAAAAGATCCAGCACCACATCTATGTGCTCAACCAGGTGGATCATTTCAGGTGAGGACCGGTCCCTGAGCCAGCGCCGCTGGTCCCAGTGCCTCTCCTTGCCCATGGCTTAGTGTTTATTCCTGTTGCTCAGTGGGCTCAGGCCTGTGAGGGGCTACTGGGAGGAAGGGCCCAATGGTGGGAGGAGATCAGCCCCTTTCCCTGGGTATAGTGGGAGCCTTTGGGGTGGGCCCCGATCTGATGTCTTCTCCAGGAAGATCACTGTATGTGGAATAAGTTGTATAAGACCACAGGAAGGAGCGATGACATAGAGTCCCTGGAGGAGCACTTTCCTATGCCCCTTCCATCCCCACTCACCTCCCAGCAAGCCCTGTCCCAGTCCTCTCTGCTCCTCCAGGTCAGTGCTCTAGCCACAGGGCCTCTTCTACAGAGTCTGCTCTGCTCTTTTGGTGATTCATGTCATCATGTGAGCACATAAATGCACAGAGATAATGCCCCCAAGACGGTTGAGTGGAGAGTCGGGGAGCTTGCCACCAAGCTTGATGAATCCACACGGTGGTAGGAGAGGTCTGACTCTCACAAGCTGTCCTTTGACCTCCACCACTCTGGGACTTGCATATATACTCAATTAGTGTTTTAAAAGGAAGAATCCAGGAATGGCGATATACTCCTTTAATCCTGGCACTGGAGAGTCGGAGGAATGGTGGATCTCTGGGAGTTTAAAGCTAGGTACATATCCAGTTCCAGGACAGCCAGGGCTGCACAGTGAGACCCTGTCTTTAAGGAGAAAGAGAGAGAGAGAGAGAGAGAGAGAGAGAGAGAGAGAGAGAGGAGAGAGAGAGAGAGAGGAGAGAGAGAGAGGAGAGAGAGAGAGAGAGGAAAAAGAAGGGAAAAAGGCTTCTCTGTCTGACACCCCCATTGCTATCACCCCACTTTTTTATTCACAACAGGGTTTCTCAGCCAGCAGTGGTTGTGTACATCTTTAATCCCAGCACTCAGGAGGCAGAGGCAGGTGGATCACTATGAGTTCGAGGCCAGCCTGGTCTACAGAGTAAGTTCCAGGACAGGCTCCAAAACTACAGAGAAACCCTGTCTCAAAAAAAACAAACAAAACAAAAAAACAAACCCAAAAAACCTGAAAACAAACAAAACAAAACAAACAAAAAAACAAGACATGGGTGCTGGAGAGATGGCTCAGAGGGTAAGAGCACTGGCTGCTCTTCCAGAGGTCCCGAGTTCAATTCCCAGCAACCACATGGTGGCTCACAACCATCTGTAATGAGACCTGGTTCCTTCCTTGCCTGCAGTACATTATATACTTAGTAAATAAATTAAAAAAAAAACAAAAAGCAAGACAGGGTTTCTCTGTAGCCCTAGATGTCCTGGAAAACTCAATCTTGTAGACCAGGTGGCCTAGAACTCAGATCCACCTGCCTCTGCATCCTGAGTGCTGAGATTATCTTCAATACTGTTTTTTTTTTTTTTTTAATTTTTCGAGACAGGGTTTCTCCGTAGCTTTTGGTTCCTGTCCTGGAACTAGCTCTTGTAGATCAGGCTGGCCTCGAACTCACAGAGATCCGCCTGCCTCTGCCTCCCGAGTGCTGGGATTAAAGATGTGCGCCACCAACGCCCGGCTTCAATACTGTTTGATCAGACTTCTCGGAAGATCTGAAACAGCCTTCATGAGGTCACGGTGACTCCCATAATCCCAGGCCCTCATTCTCTCCCATCACTGGCTCCTATTAAGTACACTTTTCCCTTCTAACGACTCTGCCTAACTTCCGGTTTTCTCCATCTCAGTGGCCGACCCTGCTCATCTCCTTTCCCCTTGTGTCTCTGATCTCTCATTGTTTTCCCTGGAGCTCAGCGCTCCCCTCCCCTCAGCTGCAGTCTCCTGGAGAATCCCATCCCATCTCATCTCCTGGTAGTAAATCACTGGAAACTCCCTAGTTTGAACATTCATACCCTTTTTTTCTTGAATTCCGGGCTTGTATATTCTGCCTCCCCTCATGATGAGACCACCAGATAGAGGTCTTAGCAACAGCCTGAGCCTGATAGGATCATGGCTGAATTCCTGATTGCTATTCCCTCAGACCTGATAAGATCATGGCTGAATTCCTGATTGCTATTCCCTCAGACCTGCTTTCTTTCCTGTCTTCCCCATTTCAGAAAGTGGAAACTACATACTTCTAGTTATGCAAGTCAGACTCTGCCTGTCACAGCCTCCAGGCTGTCAGCAAATCGTGTCTAGAGTCTGCCCACTTCTCACCATTCCTTTTGCTGCCAGGCCACCCCCCCCCCCCCCTCAGTGTCTACCTCATCCCCTAGTCTCGTCTCAGTGTACTGACTGGAGCTTCCTGGTGTCTGGTCTTGGTGGCCTTGGAGTTACGCTCCTGTGTGCGGAGCCCTGTCCCCAGCTTCCATATGATCATTCCCTCAGGCTTTCAAGTTCTAACTCAGATATCGCCCTGCTACCCTGATGTCCAGACAGCCCTTTGTGGGAGAAAAGCTGCCCACCTCCCCTTCCCGTTCCCTTCCACCCTGTTTGACTTGCTTCTTCCTATCCGAAGGCCCTTGAGAACAGGGATTTGTTTCCCAATGCTATTTCTTCCAGTGTGGGTTTGAACAGTTGCGGGCATATACTAGGTGTTCTATAAACACTTGTACAGCAAGCAGAAGGGACAGTGCCCCTATCATGATGTCAATGTTGGGTGGTGACAGAGAGAAACTCTCACGCACAGCGAGGGCTAGAGCTAGGTCGATGAACAAGCTGGCTTCCTCTACCTGGCATCATTTATCTTGTGTAGGTTCAACCGGGCGGCACTCATCAATGTGGGCTTCCTGGAGAGCGGCAACAGCACAGACTACATTGCCATGCATGACGTCGATCTGCTCCCTCTCAATGAGGAGCTGGATTATGGCTTCCCGGAGGCTGGGCCCTTCCACGTGGCCTCCCCAGAGCTCCACCCTCTCTACCACTACAAGACGTATGTGGGCGGCATCCTGCTGCTCTCTAAGCAGCACTACCAGCTGGTGAGGCCCAGCTCTACTCATTTGCTGGGGACCTTCCACCCTGGGTCTAGGCAGTTGTGGGGGTAGAGCAGCCTTCCTGGGGCCTAGCAGAGTGAGTCTTGCCTGAGCCTGACAGGGGACTCAGAGACATGAGGGAGGACAGGAGCGAGCACATTAGCCAGGGAGAGCTCTGCTGTGAGCACAGAAGCCCCCGCGCCTGCTGGCCAGAGAGAGCTGGTGATGTGCTGACTGCAGACTCTCCCTCGGCAGTGTCACTGGCCCTCCTTTCTCTTTACATGCCACTACTTTACATCTGTCTCTCATGTGAGAAGGTTGTGTCACTATGGCCTGTGAAATGTGGCCCGGCTGGTGGGAGATGGAGCCCCTCCTCCTCAGAAGTCTAGACAGGAGTCCCAAACTAAAGCGTACTGGTTCTCAATGGGACCCAGGGACACTTGGGTGAGAAGATTGGAGTGACTGTTCTCTGTCCTTCATGGCTGCAGTCCCTGAGCAGATGCTAATCAGGCTTGCCCTTCAGACACACAGGAAAGACCTGGGCAGAGCCACCGCAGGAGAACAGCTCTGAGAGGAAGGCAGAAGCCGTAGCAGTTGGCATTTTTGCCCCCTGAAGGGAGCTTGCCCTCGAGATACTTATCACATACAAGTTCAAGGCCCTGTGAGGAGTGGGGAAGGCCTAAGATGCGCTGACCCTTGCGTTCAGCCTCACATCCCCATCGCAGAGTAAAGGGACCAGCCAGTGCCCTGTATCACTCAGAACAGTCAGGGCAGGAAGAAGAAGGGGGAGCCCGGCTGGCTGGGCTCAGGCTTCATTCTCCTAAGCAGTAAGAGAAAAAAGTGCACCCGTGGGAGGAGGGGCATGTGACAGACACTGCCTGTCTTTGTGTCAGTGCAATGGGATGTCCAACCGCTTCTGGGGCTGGGGCCGAGAGGATGATGAATTCTACCGGCGCATCAAGGGAGCTGGCCTCCAGGTAAGGCTCCTCCCACACTGCCTGCCCCTGGGCTACATGGCTGTCCCGAGGGTCCCTTTCCTTGTTGCACCTTGGGGTTTGCAGTGGTTGCCCTGGTTCTGATCCCTGCTTTCATGCTGACTTGCAGGGCTTTCTGCCAGAGACTCCTGTCCTGCAGGATGGCAGTAAGAGCCCCTGCCTGTGGCAGCCAGTGGGATCCCAGAAGAGTTAGTGGTAAGGGCCAAGATGACAAGAGAGGCAGCCTGACCCCTACTTCCTTTGTTTTCCTTAGCTTTTCCGCCCCTCAGGAATCACAACTGGGTACCAGACATTTCGCCACTTGCATGACCCAGCCTGGCGGAAGAGGGACCAGAAACGCATTGCAGCTCAGAAACAGGTGGTGGCCAGTCTCCTCAATGGGGGGGGGGGGGGACCAGTAGGAGCTAGTAGGCTTTATCATCCCACCAAGCTCCCCTTTGGCCCAAACGGTGCCATCCTCCCATTGATGGGCATTCTCTGTGGGCACCCTGCCCTGCTTGGTGGCTGCAGTGTGCATCTGGGCCCTGTGGATCAGCCCAGACCTGATCCATATAGGCTGGGTGAGAAGGGTTAACTAAAGGTGCAGCCTCCTGTAGGCTGGGGTGAGAAGGGTTAACTAAAGGTGCAGCCTCCTGTAGGCTGGGTGGGAAGGGTTAACTAAAGGTGCAGCCTCCTATAGACTGGGTGGGAAGGGTTAACTGAAGGTGCAGCCTCCCTTTCTGGGAGGTATATAGTCCCATAGAGAAGTCTGAATTTTCCTTAGGTGCAGGCTTGGACAAGATGGCAGCTTTGGGCTCTTCTCTTTTAACGGAGATGGGTGAACAGTTGGCACCATGAAGCGTGAGTTCATGTTCTTCTCTTCTTCCCAGGAACAATTCAAGGTGGACCGGGAGGGCGGCCTGAACACTGTGAAGTACCGGGTGGATTCCCGCACAGCGTTGTCTGTAGGAGGGGCCCCCTGCACTGTCCTCAACATCATGTTGGATTGTGACAAGGCAGCCACCCCATGGTGCATATTTGGCTGAACTGGCTGAACAGTAAGGAAGCCTGTGCTTCCAGACCTCAGTGCTGCTCAGGCTCAGGAAACCTCAGGCCTTAGGCCCAGCTCTAGAGGATGCAGAGTGACCTGAAGGACTAGCCAGCCCCCTATCTACAGCCACCTGGGCCAGCTCCCTCCATAGCTGCAGCCACCTGGGCCAGCTCCCTCCATAGCTGCAGCCACCTGGGCCAGCTCCCTCCATAGCTGCAGCCACCTGGCCCCAGCCAGGCTCAAGACCGGACACAGGGAGTTCTGGGATGCTGCAGGAAAATCGCCAGAGAAGTTGGAAGTGTGGCTTGACGGGGATCAGCCTTCCAGCCCACCCTGCTCTTCCTGACCGCCCACGCCCCCCGAGGCCTGAGGCCAAGAAAGATGGCTGGGGTTGTCCTAGCCCTTCTGTTCCTTTGGAAGAGAAGCCTCACACAGATGTAGTCGAAAGCCACGGAGCCAGTGTGTATGGCAGCTGCTATTAGGAGGCTTAGAACTTCAGAAGGCAGAATATAGCCCCGAGCAAAGGAGCAGCTAAAACTAGCTTTAGCTGGCTGTCACCCTGAAGAAATGGGGTTGGCGGTGGGCCGTTTGTGCCACCAGATCTCCCTTTTCAATCGGAACTAGAACACTGGATTCTTATGCAGAATTTTCTGATTTTTAAATGGTAGCAGCTAACTAAAACTTTCAAAAGCTATGGCAGGCCAAACAAAATGTTTTGTGGACCACTGGTTTGTCACCTTTGTTGACCAGACAGGGTGCAAAAGATGACACTGTAAAGATTTTTCTGCCCAATAAGCCTTTTTGCCGAGGCAATAGTCCAAATCAGACCAAATCAAACCAAATTAGAAAAAGCCCAGGTTTACTGTTTGCCAGCGCTCCTGGGTGACCCTCCAGGAGGGCAAAGGAGAACCGGAAAGACCATGTGTTCATTCTGGAGAGAGAGAGAGAGAGAGAGAGAGAGAGAGAGTAAATAGCCTGTGGGCGTGGCCTTGACCCTCTCTGTGGAGGGGTCACCATTTGGGGGCTTTCTCAGAGGTGGAGTCTGGATTGTAGCAACTCCCAAGGGAGGGGGCTTGGAATGGATTTTCCACCAAACATTCCAAAGTGGATGCCAGGGGGCTAGGGTGACGCATTCAACCAAACATCCCAGACTCCTTGGATAAAGGCGTGCCAGGGAGCTGAGGTGACACTCCCAACCAGACAGACACCTTTCACTTATACACCGGCAGGGAGCTGGACTGGGGCAGGGGTGAAGGTTGCAGGTGTAGGTAGGAAGAAAAGCCAAAGGCGCAGGTTCCTACACTTCCTTCCCGGCTCCTGAGCTCACTTTACCCTGGGATGGCGAGTCACTTCTGTCTGCTTGCTGCTACATCCTGCCTTCCTGGGAAGAAAGGTGACTGGGGAGGCAGGAGTGCCGACCCTGGCTGAGGATGGACAGGACAGCCCGGAATGCACCTTGTTCCTGGGGTGGGAGAAACTGAGGAGACATTGCAGAATCCCGAGAGTATTCTGGCTGGAATGAAGGATGTGCTGAGGTAGACCGTGGGACTGGGGAATGGTCTGGGAGGAAACCTAGTGTTAACCCCACTAGGAGAGAACAAGACCACTACCACAATTTTTGAGCCAAATTTGAGGCCAGCTTTATTAAGTGCTGGCCAGGACAATGGACACTGGCCAGGTCCATACTTGGGATTCGCAGAGTATGGCACAGGATGACATTTTTTGCTTGTAAAGACAAACCCTACCTTCATCCAATCACGGGCAAGCACATATCCTGTGCAGTTGGGGCAACCAAGCTTGTTTACTGAAGTGAGAATGCCTGGCTGGTTAGCTTACGCCAGGAAGTAATCTGTCCTTGGGCAAGTGGGGCTTGCAGATTAGAGGCATTTCTGTTTTTGAGATCTCTTAAGCACAGTAATTTAGACTTAAAACAAAATGTTAGCCCTCGCACCCTGCACCAACAGAGGAGGAAATGAGTGGTTCCACAACGCAGTCCTAAAGCAAGGTGTGCCTCACCCTGGGAGCAGGAGCTAGAGGGGCATTTGGTGCATTTAAGGTGGTTGGTTTAACATTGGGACACCCAAAGGCTGTGGAAAGAATGGGCTGCGTCCAGTTGAGAGGGTAGAATCCACAGCTTCAGTTCAAAGACTTGGGATGTTTTTGGACCTGCTATGCGCAGTTGGGAGGACTGCTTGTGTACTGCACAACCTGATTTCAGGTGTGTGTGTGGGGGGGGTGTCAGTGTGTGAAGCTTCAGGTTCCAAAGTCTAATTTGGGATAATTGTGATTCTAAGTTGAGGCTGCCAGAACTGAGCCTCACCCACTGCAGTGAGACACCTGCCTGGCTTACAGTACAGGCTGTGGAGACAGAGAGGCCTTGCCTCTGAGCTCTGGTCTTCTCAGCTTGGGTTTATATGACCTGGGTAATGACTCACGCCCATTGGGGATGTGACAGCAAAGCCCTCAGTTCTACATCTACCTGGCATGTAGAAGAAACTGAAAAGGTGAGGGTCCTATCTATCTGTACCCATGGAAGAAAGGCCAAGATGATGCTCTCTCTGCTCCACAGTCCCTGTGGCTGCTATCATCACCATTGTGCTGGTGGGCCCCCCTGGCAGGAGCTGATGCACACCCCCATCTGCAGCCTCCCTTCCTTGCTCCCAGTTCTCTTCCATTCCTGCAGGATGGAAGTGTTGAAACCTGGTAGGCCGGGGTGAAGCAGATGACAGTCTGCCTCTGTTTTCTCTGCCACTTTATGCACTGGACCCAGCTAACATTCCTACCTTGTTACTGGGGATGCGGATAAAATGTGCCAGGACATAAGCTTGCCTGGCCGGTGTGGGTGGGAGAGCCGTCGCTTCTTCTCTACCTCTGCTAGGGTTTTTTAGCGGAAAAGAACTGATAGAATGAATCCATATATATTAAACAAGGATATACTAGAGTGACTTACAGGCTATGATCCAGCTAGTCCAAAAATGGCTGTCTCTGAAGAATTTGATAGTTGTTCAGTCTGTTGAGATTCCAAAGAAGTTAAGTTCTAATATCAGCGAAGGAGTGCCGCAGCAGGATGATGAACTTTCCAGCATGAGTGAGGACAAAAAGCAAAGCGTCCTTCTTCCATGCCCTTTTATGTAGGCGCCACAAGAATTTGTGGCTGTGATTTGGGGTGCACCTTCCTGCTTCAAATCTGCAAAGTCCTCACAGGAGTGGCCAGTCACTTGGATTTTAGTGAATGGTCATCATACTACCTAAGAGCTAAGTGTTTATTTCAGTATTGATGTCAAAGCAGGGGCATACAGAGGCAAGGAGTTTACCTGACTTACAGGTGACAAATGCTGGCGGCTTGGGATGGAACTCCCTGGTCTCCAGAGCTTACCTGACAAGTGCCCCAGCCTCCTATCCTTGAGGACTCCCTGCCTTCTCAGTGGGAGAGGGCCCACCGGGAGGGCTGCCACAGAGGGATGAAAGCTGGCCACAGGAGATGCAGAGTATTGGACCCCACGGCTCTTCTGTCTCAAGGAAGATGATTGGTTTGACCAGCAGGGAGGTTCCTTGAGGTGACAGCCTGCCCAGAGCACTGCACAGTGATGGCTAACAAACCTGGGGAAGGCTTGCTGGTGGAGTGGGAGTTGGCAGAATGAGGAAAGCTTCTAGGGGAATTTACATGCACAGAGGGGCTGGAGAGAGCACTGGGCTCAGGAACCAGGGAGAGGTTCTTTCCAGCCTCCAGCCTCCCCGCCCCCCGAGCATCAGGAGGATGGGCAGAGGGAAGGCTATAGTGAGTCACGATCTGGGAATGCCACACTAAGCAATTGGTTTTTTGATTCTAGAGGTGCACGGTTTTCACACAGAATCTGGGCAGATTTTGATCTGTGTTCTAGAGATCATTTGAGGTTTAATACCTTACCTCCAGGGTAAGGACTGGGCATGGTGGCACACACCTTTAATCCCAGCACTCAGGAGGCAGAAGCAGGCAGATCTCTGAGTCTGAAGCCAGCCTGGTCTGCAGAGTGAGTTCCAGGATAGCCAGGGCTACACAGAGGAACCCTGTCTCTGAAAAAATAAAAAAATCTATTTTTGGGCCGGAGAGATGGCTCAGAGGTTAAGAGCACTGGCTGCTCTTCCAGAGGTCATGAGTTCAATTCCCAGCAACCACATGGTGGCTCACAACCATCTATAATGAGATCTGGTGCCCTCCTCTGGCATGTGGGTATACATGGAGGCAGAATGTTGTATGCATAATAAATAAATAAATCTTTTAAAAAAAATCTATTTTTCTCAGACACATAGTGTGGCACATGTTTTTAGTCCCAGCACTCGGGAGGCAGAGGTAGGTGGATCTCTGTGAGTTCAAGGCCAGCCTGGTCTACATAATAAGTTCCAGCACAGCCAGAGCTACATAGTGAGACTCTGTCTTAAAATGCTGCCCCTCCAATTTAAAAAAATCTATTTTTCTATTATGTGTTGATTTTTTTATTCTTTGGAAATTTTATGCATGCAGACAATGAAATATGATCATATGCATTCCCATTCCCCCTCCAACTCCCTCTGTATCCCCAAACACCTGCCCCTCCTGACTTTATGACTTTTTTCTTTTTTGTATAGTCTTTCTCATTTTTTTCTTTTTTTTAAATATTTATTTATTTATTTATTTATTTATTTATTATGTATACAATATTCTGTCTGTGTGTTTGCTTGAAGGCCAGAAGAGGGCATCAGTTCTCATTTCAGATGGTTGTGAGCCACCATGTGGTTGCTGGGAATTGAACTCAGGACCTTTGGAAGAGCAGGCAATGCTCTTAACCACTGAGCCATCTCTCCAGCCCCTCTTTCTCATTTTTTAAATTGATAACTCACTAAATCCAATTAGTATAACTCACATGTGCATTCAGGCTGGGGGGCATCCACCGGAGCAGGGAAACCACCGTTGTCCACACCCTCAAAGAATGATTTTCTCTTCCCCAGCAGCTATCAAGTACCAAAAGCTCCTCGGTATGAGACTTGGAGATCATCTACCCTATCTATGTGGGCTGTTAGTTGGCTTGCTCTCGTGTAGACCATGTTCAGGTAACCACAGCTGCTGTGAGTCCATGGATGAATGCAAGGGCCACTCCTTCCCATTTAGCAGGGGTGGGGGGAGGATAGTGGTTATAAGGATGGCCTTAGCAGGGGTGGGGTGGGGAGGACAGCAGTTATAAGGATGGCCTTAGCAGGAGTGGGGGAAGAATAGCAGTTATAACAATGGCCCATTTAAAGTTGAGCACTCAGTGCATTCTTTGCAGCACTCTGCCCAGTTAGGTGTCTGCTGTCTGCACTGACCACTGCATGCAGCAGAAAGAAGTTTCTCTGACCCAGGTTGAGAGGATCCCAGGTCTACAGGTGTAGCATAAATACTTCCCAAAGTGGTCATTCAGGAGAATGATGATAGCAGGTTCTACCCTGGGGCATATGGTTTCTCCAGGTATGGGTTTTAGCTGAGTGAAGAGAACCTGGCATAAAATCCCTCCTGTGAATCAGGCCTCAGATCCAATCAGAAAGCTGTAGTTACCCCGTAACAGTCATGCCAGTACTGCATCAGTGGGCATGTCTTACCTGGCAGGTCAGTATTGTGGCATGCAGGGTCTAGCATTCATCCAGCAAGCTACACAGTCCCGCTGACACTATGGAAGCTAGCCAGTGAGGAGTTTCCCAGTCACTTTGAGACTGATGTATGTCCTGCAGCCAAAGTGTGTGGTGTCTTCGGCAATAAGAGCTTCCATGTAGACACGGTGGGTAAGCAGGAGCCATGGCAATAGCCATCACTTCAGAGACCTCCAGAGCCTCCTGCCCACTGACTTGTAAGGAGGCATCTCAAGCTCTGCACTTCAGTTTTTCTTTAATAATCCAGTCTGGTCTACAGAGTGAGTTCTAGGCCAGCCAGGGCTACAGAGAGAAACACTCCATCTCAAACCTTCACCCCCCAAAAAAAGTGACAAAGAAAATGAACTATGTCCAACAAGAACAAATTTAAATACATTTTAAGATCTACTGGTGTGCCTCAGTGATTCTAAGCAATTGCTTGAAGTAAGGTTCAAAAGCCACTCAGAACCTGTGGTGCCTATTAGCATACTAAAATGCTGGCCTCCAGTGTGTAGTTTTTTCCCCTCTCATTGCTCTTTGAGGGGCTGCCACCCAGCTCCCAAATACATACTTGGAGACTTATTTATGAATGCCCAACCTTAGCTTGGCTTATTTGTCGCAAACTTTTCTTAAATTATCTCATCTACCTTTTGCCTCTGAACTCTTACCTTTATATAGCTTTCCATCCTTCTTGCTCCTTGGCTGGCTATGTTGCTGGGTGGCTGGTCCCTGGTGACCTCCTCACCTTCTCCTCTTTTCTGTCTTCCCTCTTCTCATTCTCCTCTACTATTTATTCTGTCTGCCTGGCAGCCCTGCTTATCCTCTCTCTCCTGCCTAGCCATTGGCTGTCCAATTGTTTATCAGACCAATCAGGTGTTTTAGGCAGGCAAAGCAACACAGTTTCACAGAGTTAAACAAATGGAGTAAAAAGAATGCAATAAATGGTTGATGGAAGTTTTCCTGTCCCGCAGCTGCTCTCAAATAAACACACAGAGGCTTATATTAACTATAAATGCTCAGCTGATAGCTCAGGTTTATCACTAGCTATTCCACGACTCCTGAACCCGCCCTTCTTCCCCCCATTATTTTCTCTGCACCAAGCTGTCTCACCCAATCTCTTTTTTCCCTGCTATCAGCCAATCAGTTTTTTATTAACAATGAACATAATCCATAGTGACACATCTTTGCATCATTAAATATTCCACAGCATAAACGAATGTAACACATCTTCAACTACTATCCCATAACACCAGACTTCCTCAGGATCACAGCTATCTGGCCTCTTTTCATCCTGCCCCATACCCTAAACTTCTGCTCATAGGCTTCCCTCCCTCCTCATTCCCCTACAGCACTGCCGTTTCAGTTATGTTCCCCCACTTTGTCTTACTCTCATGCCTCCCCCCGCCTTGGTCTTTCCTCTCTACTGTCTGTCTTTCTCTCTCCCTCCCCCACCCCTACATGGCCTGCTTCAATCTGCTGGCCATGTTGAATTTACTACTCTTCTCTCTGTTCTGAATGATTCTAGATGCCTCTGGATTTATTTTCCCTCACAACTACAATAAAAAACCTTCCCCTCAACCATTCTTGGTAGAGGGAAACAGGTACCAGAATATGGGGGACTAGAGTTTCCTTTGGACCTGACATAGGTAAAGTCTTCCACAGCTAGCTGTGGGGAGTCTAGCATCACTTGGCTGCTTTTTGTGTTCTTTGGTGAGTCCTGGAGCACAAGGAGGACTCTAGGGAAAGAGATAGGGGCTGTGGTTTGAATACTGGCTTCTTCATGTTGGGTAGCCATTTCTTTCCAATTGAAACTTTCCCTTCTTGAAGAGGACAGAAGCTCATACAACTCACAGACTCGGGGAGCTCAAGAGAGTTACAGGACCACAAGGCCCTTTTCCAAGGTTTAGAAGCAGTGACAGCTACTGGGGACAGGAGACTCCCTCTTGTAGAGCATACTGCATCCAAAAAGGGAGACTATAGTTGACACCATGCTGGAGGACCAAGGGTGGTTGATGACATCATCCATGCTCTGTAAGTAATCCCAATAAACTCACTGGTTCACTAGGCCACACATGGATACAGTCATTCCTTTGGGTAGTTATTGGTGCCTTATCCAGGGTAAAAAAAATGTCTTCCAGGTGTGGTAGCATACTTGGGAGGCAGAGGCAGGTGGATCTCTGTGAGTTCAAGGCCAGTCTGATCTAGGTAGTGAGTTCCAAGACAACCAAGGCTACAAAGTTAGACCCTGTCTTAATAATAATGATAATAATAAAAATAAATAATACTAGATGTCTGTTCGCATCTTCCCAGGAAAATTAGTATAACATGATGGAGGAAGGTCATTGGTTAAATAAAAAGAAACTGCTTGGCCCTCATTGGTTAGAAGATAGGTGGGAGGAGTAAACAGAACAGAACGCTGGGAGGAAGAGGAAGTGAGCTCAGACTCCACAGCTCTCCTCTCGGGAGCAGACGCCTCAGAGAGACGCCATGCTCCCAGCTCCCAGGCAGATGCACACGATGAAGCTCCAACCCAGGATGGACATAGGCTAGAATCTTCCCGGTAAGCGCACCTAGGGGCGCTACTCAGATGATTAGAAATGGGATAAATTAATATGTGAGAATTAGCCTAGAAGAGGCTAGATATAAATGGGCCAAGCAGTGATTAAATGAATACAGTTTGTGTGTTGTTATTTCGGGCATAAGCTAGCCAGGCAGCCGGGGTGCTGGGGACGCAGCCCCGCCGCCCTTATTACTACAATAACATTCATTTTCCTTTGATTTCACCTCAATATGTAGCACGAACTGACTTTGACCTCCAGATTCTCCTGTTTCAGCATCCAAGTGCTGGGATTAAAGATGTGCACCATCATGCCATGCTGTTCGTCGAATTATTTTCTGCAGCATATTGACAGCGATTAGGAGTAATTTCTTCCTTAAGGGTTAGATAAAGAAGAGACAGGGAGGAAAACCGTTATAGCTGCTGTTATCTCGTAAGAAGGAGATATCGGCAGGACTGGCTTCCTGACAAGCCTTATCAGAAAGTCAACATAGGAGCTAGACTCCTCTGCTGGAAACACAGCTCAAACGCTGCAGTTTAACCCAGGGGTGTGAATTTTAGGATGTTCTGCCTTGCTAAGATAATGGCCAGATTGACAGCCAGCCTTGGCTCTCCTCACTTGACTTTTTTCCCTCTCTCATCTTGAAACCTGGTCTCTCTTCCAACCAGAGGCTTTTCCTGGGCAGGGCTTGCCTATCTTATCTCTCACCCAGAGTTGCCCACACCCACTCAGTTCAGAGCCTCTCAGCTCAATCCCTACTTGACAAACAGGACCAGCCCATCAGACTCATACTGGGGACAGATGAACCCAGTCAAGGAACCAGGGGTAGCTCACTTTCAAGTCCCCTCCCGTGAGCAGGGAGAGA